ATATTACACAGACAGAATGAAACCAGATGAAAATGAAATAAATGAAACCAGAGAGCGTTGACAGAGAGGAGAAGGTAGAAATGACTCAGCCTGGAACTGAAAATATGGATGGAGGACCTCAGTTTAGCTTGTTTGTCGTGATAGCGCAAAGGCTAACAGGCTAAGRTGAGGTTCTTCTTCCATGAAGCAGCTCTGTTGTCCTCCATCCATTATTTCAGTTCCAGGCTGAGTCATTTCTACCTTCTCCTCTCTGTCAACGCTCTCTGGTTTTATTTAAAAGAGTCGATCATCAGATATTGTCCAAAATTAACCTTCAGGGTGGATATAGCTCGCTAGCAGCCTCGCACCGAGGACCTATCCACGTCATCATTTACCCAGAATGCTTTGTGTGTAAATAAAATGGCTCCGTCTGTGTTAAAATATACATTTAAAAATTATAAAACTAAACATCCTACAGTATTTTTACAGTCTTTATTTACAGTTAAAATATATGTTTATCAAATAAAGTCTAATGTTACAACTAATCAGGGATCCGTTTAATAACTAAAATGTAGCTACAAACACAGAAAACAGCTGAAAAAAAGCACAAAACAGATGAAAGAAGCTGAAAAAGCTTAAAATAGCAGAAAAAAGCTAATAAAAGCACAAAATTTTTTAAATTAACAGAATAGCAGAAAATGTCAGAATGATAGCTAAAGTAGCAGAAAAAGGCTATAATTAGAAAAATTGAAACTAAATGATGCTGAAATTAGCACAAAGAAACAGAATGAGCACATTTGTGCTAATTCCGCTTAATTCCGCAAAATGGTGAATTTTGCTAAAAAATTGCTAAAAAAGGTGGCTAAAATCACAGAAAACAGCTGAAAGAAACCGAAAAAGCTTAAAAACAGGAGAGAGAAGCAGAAAGAAGCACAAAAATTTTAAATTAGCAAAAGAATAGTAGAGAATTTCAAAAAGAAAAAATCAGTAGGTCCTCTGGATGGGTTCTTTTTTAGTGAAACGTTTCGTCTCTCCTCCAAGAGACTTCTTCAGTCTGATGAGTTTCAGGTGAACTCAGCATTATAAGCACTGCCTCCGCCTGGAC